TGGTGACTGTGGGTGATGAGGGTGGGAGTAGGAGCCTCCGGGTGGACGAGATCCAGGGCCCCCAGCTGCCCCTGATGCTGGCATCATCTGTGGGTGGTGACTGAAGATGAAGTGCTTGGGGCCCTGCTTGTGGGCTGGAGGGTGCTGAGGGGCAGGACTGTACAGGGGCAATGGGGATGTAGGCTGGTGTAGGGGGTGGCGGCCATGTGGGGCAAACTGAGGGTGTCCTCCTGCCCCTCGTCTGGGAGCCCTGCCTGGCCGGCCCAAGGTATAGTGCTGGGGGCCTGGGACTGGACCATGTGCATGGAAGTGGCGATGTGGGCCCACGGGTGGAGCTGAGGCGGGAGGTGGTGGAATGGAGCCCAGTTGGGGTAGGGGTGGGGGCTGCTGAGGAGGTGGGGGTAGAGGGGGTTGCTGGGGTGGGAGGTAAGGCGGTGGGGCAGGGCCTGGTCCTTGGCAATACTGGGCATGCAGGGCCTGGAGCTTGGACTGCCCATCAGGCAGCACCCCCAGGCCACCATGACTGTGACCGTGGTGGTGATGGTGGTGGTGGTGGTGGGTGGAAGAAGCAGATGAAGAGGAAGCAGAGGCCTGGCCTGTTGGTGGTGGTGGCATCTGGAAGGGCCCCTTGCCCCGCTTGCTTCCAAATAGGGAGCCCAGGAAGGATGAGGAGTTGGAGACGGGCCTCTGGCTCTTGTACTCCTCTGGCGGCGGGGGTGGGGGCGGAGGTGGCATCCTCTGGTGAGGGCGTGGACTGCTAATAACAGACCCCTGGAAGGGGGGAGGGGAGGAAGTCAGGCCAGCCTAAATGTCCTAAACCCCCAACCCTAAACTCCACCCCTGTCCCTAAGGGCTGGAGCTAGGGAGACAGAACTCCCAAGTCATGATAATAATAATAAAATCATCATCCTGTACTTGTATATGGGGCTTCCCAACTTACAAAGCTCTGCTGTCACATTCACTATCTCATCTGAGCCTCAGCGAAAGGAAGAATTAGTATTACCTCTTTATTACCCCCATTTTGCAGGCAGGAAAAATGTTAGGCCCAGAGAGGCAGAGTGGCTTGCTCAGGGTCAAAGAGCAAGACTTGGAGGTAAGAGCTTCTTATGACCCAACTCCAAAGGCATCACTACTCAGAGTCTGCCCTGGGGTTGAGATGGGGCATGGGAGAGTGGAAGACAGACTGAGAGACAGGCAGAGTGAGGACAGACAGAGTTGAGGACAGATGGAGAGAATGGTTGGCTGGTATAGGCAGCCACACGGTTCCCAGCATGGAAGGGTGGAAGCAACAGGTCCCCTCCTCCTCTGGGGTTCCATGGCCAGGGAAGGGCTCATGCAGAGGACGAGTGGGGCAAGAGCTGGCACTTACTTCGATGGTGCTGTCCAGCGATCCCACGCTGTTACGCCGCCCCCGCTTCCCTGCACCCACAAGCAAGGAGCCCAGCGTCAGAGCAGCAACCCCTCCTCCCCACCCGGCTGGGCACCAGGCCTGGGCCCCTCCCGGGGACAGACACCCCATTATCCCTTTCCCCCATTGAAGAGGGGGATGTGGGAAGGAGGAGAGATGAAGAAGGAGAAGAGAGAGGAGGAAAAGATGGAGAAGGAGGAGAGGTGGTACAGGAGAGATAGAAGCGGAAAAAGAGGAGGAACGGTGGAGCAGTGAGAGAGAGGGGCTAAGACTTGTGGCCCCACTTTACACTCCCTGACCCAAACCCTGGGCTCCACCTGTTCTGACCTGGCTACCAGGCCCCCTGTAGCACAGTGCCCAGGGCTCTGGATTAAGGTAGGGTATGTGTGTGTGGCAGGTTGAGGGAAGGCTAGTGGTCAGTGATAGGAGGCAAAGAGGACACCCGGTCCCGCATCTCCCCAGCTAGGACAGAGATCCAAGAAACTTACCTGCATCAGAGAGATCTCGCAGGGAACTGCTGAGTGCACCCCGTTTGAGCCCATCGCCTGCCCCGTAAGTGTCCTCCAGGCTACTGCGGGCCAGTGTCCCATTCACTGAGTCTTTGGTCCCTCCAGGCTGTGAGGCATTAGGCCGCATCATACCTTTCTGCTTCTCCAGTTCCGCTGGGTGGCAGTGGGGGAGGCAGAGAGCAAAGGTCAGGAACAGGAGTGAGACTCCACCTGACTGACCCCAGCCCTCTCTCTGTCCCCTAGGCCTCCTGCTTTGCCCTCTGAATAGGCAGTGCATGTTTTCCCCCAAGCCTCAGCTTCAACTCTGAGGCTCCTTCAGTACCCAGCCCATCTTGCACCATCTCCTCTTGTGCAGTCTTCCCTTCAGCTTTTTCAAAGCTTGCTCTTCCTAATTCTTTTCTCCTCCTTATTTCTGCCCTTCCCGATTCTCTCTCAATCTTGTTTCCCAAACCCCTTTTCCCTTTATCAAAGAACTTCCCAGAAGATGGCTTCCTGGAGGGACAGGCAGGCCCTTGTGGCCTATGGCAAAGGGCAATTTTTCCAGAGCTCCCTCAGTTCTCCAATACCTTGCTCCAGAGCAGAGAGACTCCTGGAAGAACAGGAGCAGGAAAATGACAGGAATTGAATTGTCTATTACGTGCCGGCAGGCAGTAGGCTGGGTGCTAGACATCATACTTCATCTCTCTCAAGTCTCATAACAGTTCTGAGGTAACTATTATCATCCACATTTTTCAAAGGAAGAAACTGAGAATCAGAGAAGTCATAGAGCTTGTCCAGGGTCTTATAGCTGGGAAAAGTGGAGCTGACACTCTAGGAGCATGTCTGCCTGACTCTGGAGCCTGTGTTCTCTAGGCCTCCCTACATCCCACCTCTCTACAGACATCAAGGATATACTTTTGCCTGTTGCCTTCCCCTCCTTTTGATATGCTAATGTATCTCTCTCAATTTCCCCAGGGTCTGTATTAAACTGAGATTTCCCCTTGACTAACTTGTCTCTCATACTTTGGACATATTGTCAGGAGGGACCAGTCACTGGAGAAGGATATCATGTTTGGTAAGGTCGAGGGTCAGAGAAAAAGAGGAAGACCCCCAACGAGATTGGATTGGCCAAGTGACAGCATCCATGGACTCAAGCGTGGCAACAGTAGTGAGGTTGGCCCAGGATCGGGCAGTGTTTCGTTCTGCTGTGCATAAGGTCCCTATGAGTTGGTACCGACTCGATGGCACCTAACAACAACAAGCTGACTAGTAGAGTGGATCCTGGAACTGTGGATCCTGTTACTTAACTGTGGCAAGGAACTGGAACTGCTTAGCCTGGAGAAGAGAAAACTTGGAGGGTATTGGGAGGAAAGAGATGTAATCACTATTTTCCATCATGTTACATATGGAGGCTGGGAGGTTAGGTCACTGGGACTCAGCTCAAAAGATGTAGGGAGAGTACAAGAAAGGGTGGGAAGGAGAATAGCATTTGTTGAATACCTAAGATGTGTTAGAATGTGTCATCTACCTTAACTCATTTGATCTCCATCACTATCCTAATTTAATGTATGAAGAAACGGGGGCTCAGAAGGTTAAGCAGCTTCCCCTAGTTTACCCATATAAGAAGTAGCATACCTGGGGTCTGCAAATAGAGTCCTACACCTTCAATACCCTATTCTTTTCCTTGCTGTGTTTCAATAAAAGGAAGAGTTGGCTCATAATTAGGGCTTGGAAGAAGAATCTGAGGTTGGTTGCAAAGTACTGAACCCCTTGTCACTGAAGGTATTCAGATAGAGGCTGAAAGGTTCTTGGAATGAGGGTAGGAAGGTTGGACAGGCTAACTCTTAACCTTGAGATTATCAGAGGGCAGGATTCTTGGTTTCTGCAGGGCAGCATATTAGGAGAGGGGAAAAGAAGTGTGGTTAGGCTACTCACACTCCACACGGTATTTCTCCATCTCCTGCACCTCGGCAATGGACTCTCGTAGATCAGATGTGAAGCGTAGCCGGTCCTGGAGGCTGGGAGCATTGAAGATGATGAGGACTTTTCGCTCCCCGCCAGGTACTGCAGATAGCAACTTGATCCCAAACTGATAATCTGTGGAGAAAGAGAGATAGCAGGATAGGGCACTTCTGTCAGAATTGAAGCAAGGTAGCTCAGAAGTCATATGGGTTTTCTAATGTTCAACTCTGATCATGCCTCTTATCTGTTCAAGAATCTTTAGTGACTCCCCTTTGCCCCACAAACCCCCAAGCTTCTGGTAGTCATGGTTCTGTTACTCCCTACACTCTAGGGTATAAAGGCAAACTGAACTCTGTGCTGTTCTCTAGAAACCCCGGACTTTACATCTCTGCCTATACTCACACTGCAACTGCTGACCAGAATGTCCCCCAACAAAACTGGATCCATTCACCAAGTCAGAGTGATAGCCATATATCTTCAGCCTCCTCTCCTTCTGTCCTTTGCCTCCTCCAGCCCAGAAAACACACACACCATGGTTTCTCTGCAAAGACCCAGAGGCTAGACCCAAGCCCTACTCCACCCTGGCCTGCCCTTTATCCTGGGACCAAGTAGGTGCTTTGAAGACATTATCAGTACCAGTACTGGTTGTGATCGAATCCATTATGACTCATGGTGACCCCATGTGTGCAGAGTAGAACTGTTCCTTAGGTTTTCAATCAACCTTTCCGAAGTGGATTGCTGGGCCTTTCTTCCAAGGTGCCTCTGGGTGAGTTAGTAGTCTAACATTTAACCATTTATACCATGCAGGGATTACTTGTAGGTTTTAGCCTAGTTGTAAAAGACTCCAAAAACTGGAGGCTGATACAGATGAATAGTTGGCTGGGAGAAGCTGCTATGGGAGGCTAGTGTGGATGAAGGATTAGCATGCAAGCCCTGGCATAGACTCTTGGGCCGCTGGGATTCAAGAAAGGACTCACATGAATTCTGGAAGAGCTGCATGTGCATTTCTACGAGGGGAAAGGATTGACGGAAGCTGTATGTCACCAAGATCTTCTTCTTTTGGAAAATTTTGGTAACCTTTGGCAGGGATGGGGAAAAGACAAGAGGTAGGGTTGGAGTGAGAAATTTCCACATGCACCTATTTCCAGTATCTTCCCTCCCCTCCCATCCCAGAGAAATGGACATATACAGATGAACACACATACCCACAAGTTGGGCAGAACTGAAGCTTCAGAAGTAAAATGGGGAAGATGGGAAGAAAAGGCAAGTTCCTGATGTAAGGATAATGCACAACAGGCATTTGAGATTTTTACAAGAATTAATTGAATGCTGCTTCCCTTCAGGAAGCCTTTCCTAACACCCCACATAGATAGATAGGTTTTTAGTTTTGTTTTCCCCCTTCTCTTGAGATTCCAGAGCAAAGGTTCAGTTCCTTTCACTCCTCAGGCTGAGATATGATTGCCCCCTGCTGGATTGGGAATGCCAAAGCAGGGGTCTAGTTTTAATGTCTCTCACCAACTTTCACTGAGCCTAGTGGCCATACTTTATGGCACTGTAGAATAAAGCACTAGACTGCAAGGTTGGTTTGAACGGCAAGGTTGGAGGTTCAAACCCACCAGCCGTTCCTCAGAAACCCTATACAGGGTCACTAAGAGAACCGGCTCCACAGCACTTAACAATGACCAAATATTTGGACATTCAGGACTCAATTAACATAGGTTTCAATTAACATTGGAGGCCTGGTGTGGCACTGTAGGATGAGCACTGGCCTTCAGGGTGGGTTTGAACTGCAAGGTTGGTGGTTCAAAGTCACCAGCCATTCCTCGGAAACCCTATAACAGGGTTGCTATGAGTTGGAACCGACTCAATGGCACTTAACAATAGTAACAACAACACTTCAACCATCTGGGCTGTTGAGGTGGACAAGGACATTTCCTACTACTTCCCAGGTGGTAAATCTGTCATTTCTCCTAGTCATTTTCTGCCCTTGTGTGGCTGTCACTATATCCAAATGGATTTTTGAGGAAGAAGAAGGATAGAGAAGGCCTATACCGTGCCCAAGATCCCATAGATAACATGGCAAAGAACCTCATCCCACCACACCACTCTATCCACCAATACAAAAATGGTTCACACCAGACCAGAGTTCAAGCTCACCATCTCCCTTCCGTTTCCTCCCCCACAGTACTCATACCACAAGGAGATCATTGAAGAGGAAGACCTCCCGCTGATGCAACCCTAGTCTCTGGGGGCGGTTTGGATCTGGCACCTCATAGAGCTGGCAGCAGCAAACCAGTCGACGGTGAGGGAGAGACAGGACCTAGACAGGCACCATGAAGAAATAGGTGTCAGTAAGACCAGCTCAGCAGCTTCAAGCCTCCAGCACCTTAACATCCAACAGCAAAAGGAAGTTTATCTCTGTCACTCTAATACAAGGTTTAAGTGCTTCTGCTGCCTTGCCTTTGTCCCTGTGTAGTTCCTTCTGTCCAGAATGCCTTTCTTAGCCAGCTAATGCTAATGTTATGTCATATGACCTCTCCCTCTTTAGTGCTCTTCGTATCTAGACTATATTATTAACTAGGTATTATTTGTGTTTTTATCTGACACCCTCACTGATTTGTGAGCACTCCCAAGGACAGACACCATGTCTGATTCATATCCCTGTCTTTGTGCCCAGTGAAATGCCAGGCTCAGTGGAAAAGCATCTGTAAATGTTTGCTAACTATATTGTATGTTACTGCTTTTGTTACCAGCTTGACTTTTCCCTTGGGATGGACAGGCAAAACCAGAGATAGGAAGGATGCTAATATTTATACTACATGAATGATGTGCCTTGAAACATAACATGCTAGATGTATTCATATAGACCATTTCACTTAATTATCATCCACTCTATTTGGTAAGGGAACCCAGGACTCAGAGAGGTCTAGTGATTGTCCAAGCAATGTCAGAGACGGAACAGATCCCTATCTCCTCAGCAGCCTCCCAAGGCACTTACCGGTTTCTTGCCGACGATCATGCGCTCCACAGCCTGCACCTGGGACACATGGTCATCATTGGTCCTTAGTTCGCGTCCCTGGATGCGTTGGTAGATGCCCACCAGGAGGTCTCGGGGGATGTCTTCACCATTGTCAACCCCTAGGTTGGGGGAGTAACACAGGGATATAACACAAAAATATATTGAGTGGGTGGTAGGGGTTCTACACAACACCCCACACCTAGGCATGGGCCATGATAATGGTCAGAATTGGAGGGAATGGGCCCCTTAAATCCTTCAGTCAGGACAAGGGCCAGGTAAGGTGACCTTCAGGAAAACAGCCAATTGCGTTTTCCCCTGGAGTGAGGATTTTGTCAAACAATTAACTGTGATTAAAACAATCAGATACTATTTTTTTCTAATTAGCAAAATAATACCCAGTGTTAGTAAGAGTGCAAGGAAGTGGACTATTTTGAAAGGTAATTTGGTAAGAGCCTAAATATTGATACCCAGTGATTCCTCTTCTAGAAATCTGCCCTAGGAAATTAATCAGAAATATACACAAAGGTATATTCACTGTTATTTATGATAGGGAAAATTTTGAAACAACCTAAGTTCTAACCAGAGAAAAATAGTTAAGTAAACTATAGTATATTCATTTAACAAAATAATATACAACTATTTTATGTAGCACTGTGGGATAAGGCACTGAACTGCAAGGTCGGTGGTTCAAACTCACTAGCCGGTCCTTGGAGACCCTATACAGGGCTGCTGTGAGTCCGAACCTCGACAGCACTTAACAACAACAACAATTAAAGCTTGATGTTTAAGAGAAGATCTCAATGGCATGAGAAAATTCTTATGTGAGAAGAACAACATAATAAACTGCATGCATAGCATGAGGAAAAAAGACTAGAAAATACCAAAAGTGACCAATTTTAGGTAATTAAAAGACATTTTTTTCTATTCCCCCAAATTTTTGAAATGAGCATGTATTACTTTTGTTTGTTTGCTCATTTACTTAATATTTGTGACAGGGACTAATATATATATATA